CCATCCTCATCCTCTAAAACCATATCTACAGTAGACTTGGGCAAATGGTCCTCACAAAATGAACTTGGAAGCCCCTGATCATTGCATCGAATAGAAGTGTTAAGAGGGATTTGTGCATGTTAACCATGATATTCTGCAACTCTTCTCTTCTCCCCATCCCACGCATGCTGTTTTAACATTGGCAATGTACAGCTACTTACCAACCAGAAACAACTATAAACATGAGACCGAACCATTGACTTGATAAAGGATGGATTCTCTAACTGTAAGTTGCTTTGGAGAATCTCAGCAGACAGCCGTGCGCGAGATCTTTCTTCATATGACGCGGCTCTAACTTCTTCCATTGGTCTAGCCAGATAACTGCCAGTCCAGGATTAGTATTAGCAGAAATTTGACCAAACCACATGGCAATAATAAATAGAGAGAGTATTATATTACCTTGCCCATGAAGAACTCCACTTTGGTCTCTTCCGCATACGTGGAAGGTCTACATCTACCTGTTGTTAAGGAGCAACTTATTAGGTGATTTATCAAAACTAAATGCTGGAGAACAGACCTATGCTTTTGCTTCTAAAAAACTTAGTAAGCATCAATGAACGATTAACAGGAGATAATAGGATGAAATGATCTAAATGAAATAACACTCCGAATATGTTGATCACTGTCTCAGAGTCAGGACATTGGCAGGAAAGAAACAGTCATATAATAATTGACCTTTTGCTTTGCATTTTTAGTTGTGATTTAAAATATGGGGGCCCTCTGAGTTTATCATGAACAGGAATAAGAAACTATGAATTTCTTCAATCATAGATCTATCTGATTGGAAGCATGAAACCAGAACTCAGGCACAGGTGAGCAAATATGTCAGGAGCATGAGTCTTTGTTCTAAACTCGAGGGTGGGAAGATCAAAACTTAGTTACTTACATCATCGCGGTATGAAGTAACCTGAGTGCGCGCACGTGATGACCGTCTTGGCTCCACCATGTAAACATCGTTTGGTTTTGGCCTACTAAGGCTTCGCTGCTTCGCATAATGAGGGCAGAAAAAAGTGATTAGAGAACCTAAAGACTCGTAAAACTGAAAATTTTAGTAAAGGAAAAGGAATAGTTTTACCTTTGACTTCTTCTCAGATTTTGATACGTCAGAAAGGCTCTTGGAGATGCTCAAAATCCCCAGATCCTTTCGCACAGTGGATAAAAAAAAATGAATGAATGATAGAGACAAATTGAACTCTATTTTTTTGTGGCAGTTAATTTGTAGTCCCACAGCAGCAACATACAAATGTGGACTACTGTTATTAATGTGGCAACAGAAGTTCCATGTCCCTGATTTTGTGATAATAAAGAAATGCTTGATTTCATCTCATTTCTTAATTTGAAAACATGTTGACTTCTCTTGAAAAAATATTCTTCGTAGAAAATTGTAAATATATGCATAGGAGGATGGCTCGTTGGAGACAGGGAAAGAAGCGAACTAATGTACCAACACATTGAGGACAGAGTGATAGAAGTAGATAGCTACCTCGAATCTTTTCTTGTTGTCCAAAACCCTTTGCTTACGAGCTTCTTCGTAAGTGTTGGCGTTGTTGTCTTTTGCCATTTGTTGCCAACTATCCTTCAAGAACTTAGATGGCCAATGGGCTAAAACTTGTGATATAGAATCTCCTGAACGATTAACGTCCGCCCAATCGTTGGTTATGCATAGCAAAGTAATTAACAGAGTCCCAGATTGAGTAATCTAAAAAATAATTAATCCTCATTTTTTTCCCCTTTTTCTTTTTTGACATCACAATCATGATCATTCTCCCATTTGCAAAAAATAATAAATAAGTAAAACCCAAACTAATCAATTATTATCTACGGAAACGCCTTGGTTCGTTTTTTTTTACCTTCAAAAAAAAAAAAAAAAAAAGAGGCGACAAGCATAAACCAGCATCTAAAATTATGAAAATTAAGAAATATAAGACACATGAAGAAAGAATCCGACTGATAGAGATTACCACAACCCCGTTGTAATGCAGCTGTCTTTTCTTACTGAAAATAACAAAGAACAAAAAAGAAGAAAGAAATATAGCTGTAGTACGATCAAAATAAGAAAAGATTGGAACTTACCAAGAAAACATTTTATTAACCCCACAGCTGAATTCTGAGGGAGAAGACGAAAAGGTTAGCAACTGAGTTGAGTTGTGGAATGCATACTGTCAATACTCAACATAGTGAAACAGAGACGAGATGACCGGCGGGCCCGGCAGGCAAAAAGGCAAGAAAATACCGGTACGTTTGATAAGGAAAAAAAAAAAAAGAAAGGCCTTCATTTGAAATTTGAAAAGGCTTGTTTACCCGCGCGATTCACACCTACTCCGGTGTTTTAATTTGGATTATTATCACTTTACCCCTTCAAACTATATCATTATTATCAATTTACTCTATAACGTTATTTTTCGGCTACTTCATCCTCATAGGTAATTCAACTCATGTTAACAAATTTTGAACAAAAATATTTTTTTATTTTATAGCATTACTACATTGTTATTATTGCTTTATCCGTTTAAATTATAGTGTTACAATCGCTTTATCCCATAACATTATTTTTTAGGCATTTTTTTTCCATTGTTTACCTGACCAATGTGTTCGAAAATTTTTTAATGCATTTACCCTTTTTATGTATAATTAAAATAAAAAAAGTAGGAATTTTATTCTTCTCTTTTTTTTTCACTCTAAGAATTCCAAAAACATGACAATAAAAGGATTTTCTTAAATTTCTTTGTTATGCTTATCAATACTAACAAGGAAAAAGAGATAGGAGAGAAGGAGACATAAAATTAGATTTTGCAAAGAAGAAAATAAGAATGAATCTAATATTATCTAATTACTTTAACGTCGTCGAAATTAGGATTAGAATTAGGTGGCCAATAGAAAAGTAAAGTAATTTTCAACTAATAAAAATATTGAATTATTTTTCAAATAATAAAAATAGTAAATTCATTCTTATTTGTATTAAAAAAAAAAGAATTAAGCTCTCTCTTCTACCCTAAATTTCTATTTTTTTCCAATATTAATAAGATTACCAAGAAGCAAGAAATTAATGTTCTGACTTTTTTCTTTATACTAAAATAGAGAAGAGCCACTCTAATTTTTCTGCTATTTTTATTATACAAAAAAAGAGGGTACTTTATTCTAAAGTATGTTAATTTGATAAGTTGATTTAATGGTAGAGTAAATTGTCTAAAAAATAACACTATAAGTAAATAGATGGATAAAGTGATAATAATTTTAAGGGCGAAACATGTCTTTTTGCTTGAATTAACAAATTTCATTAGGTTTGCTGATTAATTTTGGAAGTAAAGTGACTAAAAATTAACGTTAAGAGGGAAATTTGTAATTACACCAAAAGTTAAGGGGGTAAAGTGATAATAACCCTTTTAATTTTAAGTGTAGCTGACGTCGAATAAAGGTCACGATGTCTTCACAACGACAGCGTCTTGCTCTACGTTGGCCTTTGGGCATCGGTTTTGAATTTTTATTTTTATGTTTTTTTCCAAGATCAGATGTTTGCACCGATTTGGTTTAGTAGTTTTCTTTTGATCTCTATCTCTCTTATGCCCCCACTTTCATCGTAATTATGAATTTGATCCCCCAAATGGAACTTTTATTCTAATCTTCCTTTCCTTAATGTTTGTATCCAAGTATTTTGTGACCTCTTACTATCTGGAAAAGGTTCGATATTCCAGTCAAAATTCGTGAAGCATATCAATGAAAGTAATTAATCCTTCCTTGATATATTTAATTATCTTCATGGCACTGCTATGTCTAATTTCTTGCAGACTAATTGCTGTATCTTTTGTTTTAGTTGGTAGCAAGAAGCTATTTAATTAAAGCAACTATTTGATTTATAGAGAAACTGTATGGGCTATTGAATAGATATCCAAAATACGTTTAAGGACTAAATTGTAGAAATAAAAATGTTTGAAATAAGTAGGATTTCTAGTAAAAGAACAAGACTTTGCAGGTAATTCATCCTTATGAATTGTTCAGCAAAATTAAAAGTACTTTATTTAATTCTTTCATTTTTTTAATCATGCGCTGTTGAATATAACTTCAAAATCATAATGAAGTCTGTTATCCCAAATAAAAACTTTAAAAATTTGGATTGAAAATCATTTTTCAAATTTTTTTTAGACTGTATGATGAATATGTTTTTTAATCATCTTTTTATCTTCTCAACTTATATTTTTATATCACATACATCAAATAAAAAATAATTACACTATTATTCTCAAAAAAGAAAAATCCAAATAATCTTCAATCCAACCTGATATACACATAGTTTTCACACATTAAAACTCCTATAATTAAAGGTGAAAGAAGTATGTTTATTAATATTGTTAATTAAGTTTCCTTGAAATTTCATTGCACAAATTTTTCTCAGATATATTTCTTGTTGTCATACTCATTGACAACAAGTCTTTGTTTTCATCTGTATAAGGTATACGAGATACATGACGCTCTATATCGATCTAACGGTTACAATTAATATTCATCACAGTACAATTATTGTAGCCTTTAACGATAATTAGCATATGTATAAAAGAGGGAATGCCATGCCTCAAGAGTGTGTATTATATTGGTGATGTGGCAAAATATGATTGGGTGGATGTTCGTCCAAAATTTTTTAATCCCATGGTTTTGTTTATCATCATCATCATCATCATCATCACGTGTTCTGCAGGTGACTTCTTTTAAACCACAGATTCGATTGATTTGATTGGGCAATTAGGTTACTTGCTCCCGACTTTTTCAGTGAGAGGTTACGTGTTTCCGGCTATTTCAGTGACAATCACAGTGGGAATGGGCTCGAGATACTTGTGACAGACGTCAAAAAATTTTCTCCTCTTTCTGCAACATTTCTTCCAGACTTCTACGCTTCCATCTCCCCGAGTCCTTCTACCTCTCCTTCCCTGCCAGTCTCATCATCTCATTCTCGGGTAAATTGGGTTACCCACTATCATAAAAGGAAAAAAATGAAGATTGCTTCTCCTTTTAAACTCCATGTACACCCCTTCTCAGAAATTCTCGGCATCATCATCATCGGTGAGTTTTTTTTTTTAAATTACTTGATTGTACTTCTCAAAACCCCATCTACTTATATAAACCCTCCTATTCTCTCCGGCCTTTTCTCCTTCATTTCTCTCATCAAAGCTGATATTACCATCTCTCTCCCTATTTCTCTGCCATTTCAAAATTTTTGTGCTTTTTTTTTATATGTTTCCCAAATTATAACGTTCAAATTGGGCCCAATTTTATTTTTTTTCCAAGATTTTTAGAGTTTTCTTTGAACAAGTTCTTGTTTTCCACAAATTATTTGTGTAGCATTTGTTTCCAGAAGAGGAGATAGGGATTGGGTGTGTGTTTCTGTGTGTGAAAATGGCGGTGAAAGAAAGACGCAAATTCAGGGCTTTGGATTTGTACATATGCCAATTGAAGATTCAGGTAAACTAAAGCTATTCGTTTCACTAATTTTTTGTTTTCCTTATTGAAATTCAATTCATTCTTTCTAATAAATATTTCATCAGAAATACTTGATACATGGTTGTTCTTGAATGTTTTATACAGATTTTTGGGGTTTTTACTGTATTCAGATGGGGGATCAGCTGTGCGTTTCGGCCTCTCAAAAGTGCAGCAAAAGGAAGGCGTAAATTAATGGAAATGTTAGTTGAACATTCAGGTGAATGATATCTACTGATATCTTTAATTCTTTTATTTTTCTTTTCTAAATGGTCTTTGAATTTTATCAATTTATTTTCTCAGTATTGCTAATCTTTTCTGACTAAATGATCTTTTTTCTTGCTTTTTTCCAAAGCTGAAATGGGTAACTTTTTGATTTGTTTTGTTACAGATTTATGGACTTCAGAATTTTGGGAGATGGGAATTTAGTTTATTGGCATAGAATTTTTTTAGAGTAAATTTGAATTTATGAAAATTTGGGTTTAAGATTTCTATATTATAGAAAGTGATTCAGGGTTAAATCTCGATTATGGTGTTCCAGGATCTGTAACTTTGCTTGGCAGATTAGGTTTTTCAGCATAAATCTTGATTAGGTTTCCTAGGATATGTAACTTTACTTGGTGGATCAGGGTTTTAGGATTTTTATGATTTTCAGTAGCTTCAAATCCGAGATTTTTAATGTGCCCCTGATCACTTGATTTGTTTGATAATTTCGAAAACAGATGATATAGAAGGGGAAGTTATGTGCAAAATCTTTTGTTTTTAATTTTTTTATTTTTATGGTTTGTCAGTTTTGGTCATGTACTATTACATTGGAGGAGTTAGTTTTAGATTTTGACACTTTTTAGTAGCTACTGTTGTAGTGATATCTCACTTTTGCATGATTTATTAGTAAAATGAATACTTTAAGTTGCTTGCTGTTTGTGCTCATAGTTTGAGAGTGACTAGACATTAAGCTATGCTATTTAATGACTTTAGTAGATTGTGAATTTGTGATGCTTGTGCTTTTTACATTGGCGCAATAGATCAAGTGAAGAATTTGAGGCTGCTTTTCTTTTGTGGTCATCGTTGGAGAGTGATTTTATCTTTCAAACTTCTGCTATTTAATCATCTGGGATGACTTGTAACTTTGCAGGGGTACTGTCTTTTTACTTGATTGTGATCTCTTAACCATGTTGATTATTGATCAATCACTGTCAAGAATGTTTTAGATTGCTCGCTTGTTGTGGTCATAGATTGGAAGCATCTCTGCTTTGCATCAACGTTTTTCTTGCATCATGTCCTTTTCTATTGCTATATGGCTGTTTTCTTTTCATAGCCCTTATTTAAGTCTGATGGTTCTTGGCTATTCATTCATATTGTTCCAGAGTCCTAGATGGTAGTTGTGGTTGATATAAAACGCAATTCTGTTCCATTTGTAATTTGATAAATTGGAATTTAGTTTTCCGGATAAGTTGACTTATACTCTCATGTTAGTTTAATTGTGCCACATAATAATGTCCGGAGCAGTATTTCAGTTCTCTATATGCATGAGTCATTGTTGGATTTAGTATCCTGATTTTAGTTAATAGATGAATGCTGAGTAGCTTTGCTGTGTACTCGTGAATTATTGTTAGATGTATACGCTTCAAGGAAGATGGATTCTTCCTTGTCTAACTTCTATTACATCCATCTACTTTTTTAAGTTAAACTCTGTTTTTATTAAATGTCTAATTATACGCCTTTTTGTATTTGGTTGTAGTTTTTGTGAAGACTTGTGCTTTTAATTTTCGCTAACTAATGCCTATCAGTGTACATAGTTAAGGGTGTTGACTATCGTGCTTTCTGGGGCCCATTAATTGGCTGGTTTATTTGTCTCAAGTGATTAGCAATCTAGCATCCGAGGACTAACTGATTGTGATTTTGAAAATGTATACACTGTTGCAGTTTTGTCAATTCTTTCAAATTGCTTGCGTTTGTTTAGGTCTCAATTTGAGAGTGCTTCTTGCTTTGAGTTTTTTTCATGGGGATACTTGTTATTTTTGTCATCTTGTTTATGTCTCATGGGCTATAGTCATTTTGTTTTCACAATTCTAGAATTAACAGTGGTTCTAAAAATGCAGAGCTGTTTGTTTTTCATGTGAAAAGCTCTGGTTGGGTTTTATTGGTGATTAAATTGGGATGCTTTTAGATACAACTCTTCTATCAGTAGTTTTTCAAATTTATACTTGTGCCAATGTCTTAGGACAGTTTTGGCCTGTCATGTAGAAGAAGAAGTTATTATTGAAAAGTTTACTGACTTTAGGTACTAAGTATAGAATAGAATAGACAGATGGACAAACACACTCCAGCCAATAACGATTGGCCACATCAGCAAAACAATCATCCCTTTTGAGCCATGGCATTTGTCCTTGTATATATATGTTAAAGAAATTGAAGAGAGAAAAAGCTTCTGAAATTGAAGAGAGAAAAAGTGCAGTTTTCTTTGTGAGGATGAGGAAGAAGACGAGAAGAAAGATAAAGTAAAGGGTTAGAGAGAGAGAGTCGGATGGTTAATGAAAGGAGTGGAGAAAAGGGAACCCGCTACCATCACTGAAAAGTTGGGAGCAGGTAACCTTCTCCCATCAATCACATCTGCATTTGTTTGTTTGAAAAAGAAGGTGGAAGGTTGTATGTTTCTCTAATGCTTCTCAAAGATGACTCCGGATCAGAGTGAGTGTTTTCCATGATTTTCCCCATCTTTGAGGCTCTTAATTCTTTTTCTCACCTGCCTTTGCATTTTTTATTTGTTTAACTCATGATCCCAATTTCCTTTTTATCTGTTTAATTTTGTCTTGTGTTTTTTTCTGTCTGAAACATATTTGTTTTTGTACGTCTTTCTGAAACTTTTTTTTAGGGGAAAAGAAGTAGTAAAAAGACTTGTTTGTGTGTTAGGGGGTTAAAAAGTAAATAAACTTTTGAAGTAAAATAAAAATCATAGGTAATTTGTTAAATTGATTGGTGTAGAACGCGACAAAATAAACTTCCGAAATTGATTGGTGCACTTTTTTATTTGTATATATTTTTTATTCTACGATGAGTGGTCAACTGACGAACTAATTTTTTATCTTTGATTTCTCAATTTATTCCAATTCCAATTTGCTGAGAGCCTAATCATAGCATTATTCTGGATAAGTTCTATGTGAAGAATTGTTTAAATTCACAGCTTGTTTCTTTTCGATTTTTGTCAATCTGATGTCTTTAAATGATTTTTTCCCTCGATTCTGTTGTCTAATGTATAATTTTTTGATATTGCAGGTCCAAAATTTGGAAATTTTCTTCTGTCCTTTCCAAGAACTACTCCAGAATATAGCAGCACGACTCAATACCGTATCCAGCCTACTTTGTGTAAAATTAGTGAGTAGTTTGATTGTACCTTCTTCTGTTCATGTGTATTTTATTGCAGTTTGTACTCTAAATGTTATACCCCTTTTCCTTTGCTCTTTGCAGAAGAGGTTACATAGGACTTTATCACTTGTTGCTTTTCCATTATTACAGGTTTTTTGCTTTCCTTTTTACCATAATTTCAATTGTTATTCCTTTAGTTGTTCATTTGTGGTGACTAAAGTTAAGAGTTTCAGTGAGGAGAGTGCTACTTGTTTTCCTGAAATTATGGAATTTGAAAAAAATTTAATATTTTTACGTACTGTATTTATAGTCTATAGTCATCGAGACAAATCGTATTTACTCATTAGTGGTATTGGTATCTTATTGATTTTCAATATGAGTGAATATAGTGTAGTTTGATGATTTCTTGACAATGAATACTGAATTTTTTTCAGCTCCTGTTCAATTGTTTGAGCTCCTATTTTGTTCCCTTTATGTTTCAGTTAGTTCTGAAATGATCAACCCTCTTGATTCTTGATCTAGCTTTCACTTGTTAAGCTATTGCGTGATCCATTTTTTTTTTTCAACCTTTTTGATCATTCTTCCCATGTGATGGCTTTTAAAGCACTTACGAGTGACGCAGTTTTTCTCACAGAAAAAAAAACGGATATGACTAAGTTGTGCATGTTAGCAATTCTACCCCGCATTGTCATGTAGTTGTTTGATCAAATGTATTCAAGGGATCCACATGTTATTAACCTTCATAACTGATATGTAAAAGTTAGTACTAGAAATTTGGAATTTATACTCCTTTATTTCCTTACTAAACAATTAATAATAGTAAGTTTTCTAGCATGTATCATATAACTTGTGCTTGGTGGGTTTTCTTGCTGAGTTGTATTGCTGTGACTGTTTAATTCTAAATATGTTATCAAGTTAGACAAAAAACGTAGAATGGAACTTAATTGGCCAATAGAGTGAGATGAATCTTAACATAGAAAAGAACATGCATATAAGGCATGTTGATGATTGCAAATTGATAGAGCAACTTTGTATCTTCAACTAGATGTCACCAAAGGTACATTTAATTTGGTAATATAACACTGTATTTTCCTAGCATTTGTCTGGTTTGTAAGACTTATTTTGGCTTTCTTGGTTCTCATTGTAGGATCCAAGTAACTAACTCTACATCAATTCTTTGGAAGTTGATGCTAAGGTATAATTTGTTTATTACCTTTCATTTACCAATCACCAAATCGCTTGAGACATTGGACCTTTCCAATCAGTCAATGTAAACATGGCAGGTCTTGGGGTCTTTGAGTTATTCGCTTTTTCTTATTTTAAATGGCTTTATTCCATATTGGTGTAAAACCTTTCTGGTAGTGAAAATATATGAAATTATAAGGTTGCTTGCACAAAAGACAAAAAGTTTTGGGAATGAATATTGATTTATTTCAAGGAAGGCAGCTTGTCAAAATTTTATGCCTCTACTCATCTTCAAAGAAATGGTTGGCCTTGCTTTAGCTGAAAAAGAGATTGTCCGTTATAATTTTGTTGCAAGATCACAAACTAAAATATTCTTCAAAAAAGATGTTTTTATAGTGATGTTGGATTGCATAAGCCCTTGCAAAAAATGGAAAAGTTAAGAAGGTTATTTTAAAGATGATGTTACTATTATTTGGGACATTTGAGAGGATTGGTCATCCTTTGAGAGAAATTTTATTGCTATGTTCTGGTCTTTAGCAACATTTTTCTCTCTGTACTATGAAAACACTTCCATCTCATTCACTTATATTTTCATGGAAGATTGATGTCATTCTTGACCTTTTGAGGACAGAAAAGGATGAAAGATGTTTAATCATGTCTTTCTATATAAGAAAGGTTTATTCTTCTAATTACCATGTTTCTTTTTATTATTATTTGATGGTGATGTATTTTTTCAAATGAAATCCACTTTTCTCCCCTATTGTGTACTTGACTCGGCAAAAAAAAAAAAAAAGAAATCAAATTCTGATTTAATTTGCACTATATGCCATGCAAAGCTTCTTTGCTTGCTATCCTTACAGTCAGAAACAATATTGCATGTCACAGAAGAGCTATTTCTATTCCCAAGGAGGTTGCTATGTCTGCTGTGCATTTTATTTTTCATTTTTCTACTATGAACAGAAACAAGTTATATGTTTCAAACTGATTTTGGCTTTTCATACTTGATTTATGTTTTCCAAAAGTCGGTAGTAATTATCATATTTATGTTATATACAACACAATTATGGGTATAATTATAATTAACTTTCAACTAATTATCTTATGAATGCTTAGATACACTTATTCATACAGCACCCCAACGGAAAAGGAAAAAAAAAGGCTTTGTGCAAGATATTTTATTTCACTGTCTCATAGGTCTTGTTTATTAATTTTTTAAAAAGTGCCCCCTCTAAGGTCATCTTAAAAACTGTCTCAATGGTTCTTATTCTTGGAACCTTGAACCCTGATTTTAAAAGGGTTGTTGATGATGATTGATCATATATATAACTAGATGATTTTTTTTTATTTTAACAAACTTTCATGATGACGAAGCAAAACGAAAAACATAGGCGTTCTGTGTATCCCTAACCATCAATGTTCATGTATGAACCATATTGTAGCTTTAATTGAAACTATAAGTTCTATGCTAAATGCAATAGCTATGGCTAAAGAACTCTATTTTAACCATAATGGTTCAGCGTTGGAGAAGCTTCTGGTTTACATCTATTACTTATTTCTTGTATAATATTTTTAAGTGGTGAATGATTAGTAAAGTTTTCTTGTTAATTGTGCAGGCATGTGTAGACTTCGTGGCAAAAGTAGTTGGAGTAACTTCGGGACCAAAAGGAAGAATTTTGGTGTTGCACATTAAATTGCATCCCAAGATTGTTAAAGATACTGAAAGTGTTTTAAACAGGTAACAAGTCTTACATGGTATATCAGTGTATTTGATATGTGCAAGCAATATTAGTGCTGAAATTGTTAACAAGTTTATTGTTTTTTTACTAAGAAACAATCATAGCGTTTGCATCAGTTCAAGCAATCTACTTATTTCACTTTGAGGTGACCTTATGGTAGATTCCACAACATGATGTCTTAAAAATTTTCTTCTTCTTATATTTGGCTATGTCAGTTATTCTCATACTTTTAATGGAAGAAGGTGCTATTTGCTTCTTGTTTTCTTCTAAATCTTTTAGATTTATTTACTATCATTAAGTATACTACATTTGGAAAGCCATCAAATAATGATTAAGAGAAGGGGGAATAATGGATAAAAAATGCTCCAGGTATTAGAAATAATTTTGATAAATAATTTGGAGCTTTTTAATGAAGATTTGAGCCTAAAGTCCAACATCTGTATCTGTACTTTCTGTCATTCTACATTAGAGTGCATATTTTCGTATGTGGTGTAGTTTTTTGGGGCTTAAGAGAGCCTGCTAATTTGCAATCTATCATCTCAAAGAAAAGCAAAATGTTTATAGGAATATTATCTTATTCTTAGTTTAGTTATTATTTGCACTTCATGTAATTTACTTGCGCAGAACAGATTGATTGGAGGATGCTTTGGAGTATGTAGGAGTTAAATTAGTGAGGCAGGACGGTGCAAATGTTGCTGAATTTGTTCTCATCTTAGCTCCAATTTATTTTTGTCTGATCTCTAATTTGACCTATTTTTTATTGTTGTCTACATTGCTCTCTTTAATTAAAGTTATCAAAGTTAAAGGTGACTTTGCTACCGCTATCAATTGCTTTTGAAATTGCCATTATTGTGTCAAAGCAATTTAAAATGTTCCATTTTCACTTTTCATTGTGTTTTTTTTCCAGGATGAAACATATTCAGCTTTCATATGGGATTTGATAAAACTACCAAAACATGATGCATGTAGAGATGGAAGACTACGTAGATGAGATTCTGGTTCGCGCGAGTCAATAGGAACGGGGGAGCGAAGCAGCTCGACTGAAAGGAGAGGAGCGAAAAGAGGAAGGTGCCTGACTTAACGTTGAATGGTATTAGCTTGACTGAATAAAGAGATATGTGGATCACGCAATGCAAGAAAGAACTCTCTTCTATGTCGCTTCACTTCAACAGTCTATTTCTTGCCAGATGGTGTAGGTAACGTAGCCAGCTTGTAGAGGCATAATGCTTGTTTCAGAACTCAAATTGGCATCAGGGAGGTAATTTGCCATCTTTGTACTATTGCAAGAAGAAAAATCATTTTAAGTTTTAAATTTCTGATGATTGTAGGTTTGCCGCTCATGATTTTGCAAATATTGCTATTGTTAGTACAGGAAATGATTATGCAGTAGGAAACAGGACTTCTGACTTTTTTCAAAAGTAGGAAGAGAATTAAGAAGAAGTGAGACATGGAGCTATGGTAAAAATATCCTGCACATTGTAGAGGGGATGGAATTTGATCGCGGATATTTTTCTCCTTAACATGATTGGAGTTTTGGATCTCATATTTCTATCTGTTGGTGTATGGTATTTAAGAGGGGAAACTTTTGTATTCGCAATTGCTTTTGGTTGCCTAAAACATCGCATGGTTCAAGGATATTTTGAAACGATACTACGAAGTCTCCAATCGTGATAGTTGCATACAACATTGAAGAGGAAGATCAGGCTCCGTCGTTAATAGGTAGTTGCTATTAGAGGCCTTGCCTTCACTGAGTGCTACTGTCTCTTGATAGGAAATAATGAGACAAGAATGCTTGAATATGGAATTTATCACATTCTTTCATTTCGAAGGCATTTTTTTTATTGCAATTTCAATTAGTTAAATCTACCAAAGGGCAGATTATGGGGGAAAAAAGATAGATTACAATCTTGAATTTCCATTCTAGCACCAATTCTTCTTGGATTTCGAATTGTATTTCCAGTTTAAGAATTTGTCTTCTTTAATCGTAGTTATCTAATTCCAAAATGCTGTACATTATATCACTTATAAAAATTTTCCTAATATATAAACAATCAAGATAAATGTAATAAGTTATAGAACATTGTTATTGATATTGAAGTAGGCATGTATCTGCTACCTGCTTTAATATCATATTATTTAGCTTTCTCTTAGTGTTTTCCTTCTTTTATTTTGTACTAGAATAAGCTCATTCGATGGGGCATGGCAATCTCACATAACCTCACCGCGCGTCGCGCGGTGTTTACCCTCCTAGTAATGAACGACATGAGAAGTGAACTGTAACAGAATATGACTAAAGTTTTAAAGTTTTCCTTTTTTCACAAGGACATAGAAGTGGAACTCCAACACAACTTTACCTAGCTTTCCGTATCCGAATCGAAATAGGACTATAGGAATTAGGAGGAGGGCTGCTCTACGCGGATTTCACTATAGTCTATGTATGATACGTATGTCCTGCACTCCCTTATGGGGCTTTTTCTTTCATTCATTCAGCATCGTTGCCGTTTCTTAGTTAGATTTTCAAATTACTGTCAACCTTTTCCCCAGAGGGTTCTCCTTCTGATCAATCCTTCTTCTCTAGTTCTTTAATTACTAGGGTTTTCTTTTGTTTAATTTCACGCATTAATTAGTTGGTGTGATATATATTGAGTTCACTAATGCATGGCTACCTTAAAGAGGCCCCGATCGTCTGAAAGTTGGGAGCATCATTATAATTCAAGCTGTTACGGCACTAATTTCTTTCATGAAAGAAAAGGTCATAACTCTCCTGTTAGCATGAATCCATACACAATGAGAAATTATTGGGTTCCAGCAGAACCATCGGATAACAGGCAATGGGCTCCAATGGAAGCATCCGATTACAGGCGCTTTGCTCCCACAGTGTTAGCAGTAGCAGTAAAAGATATCTTGCCCGTTGAGCTTAACCCTTGGCAACGGGTTTCGACGGGAGCATCCGACTTCCGGCGATCGATTCCAACAGCTGCATCAGATTTCTTGCCCGTTGAGCTTAATTCTAAGAAGAGCACTGCTACTCCGTCAGTAGGTCTGAAGATGGTTGCGGGGTCCGCTTATCTGCCCAAAGATAACCCTGAAAAGCCCGAAGGCGACGATGCTCACTTCGTAAGCTTAGAGGCGCAGACAATTGGAGTCGCGGATGGTGTTGGTGGCTGGTGCAAGCAAGGTATAGACGCAGGAAAATACGCAAGGGATCTCATGAAGAATTCGAGGGTTGCTGCCGAATCTGAGCCTAATGGAGCAGTGAATCCGAAGAGGGTTATGCAAGAAGCCTATTCCAATACTAAGGCTCCAGGATCATCCACCGCCTGCATCATTACACTTTCGGGTAACGCATTGCGGGCCGCGAACGTCGGTGACAGTGGTTTTATAGTCGTACGAGATGGGAAAGTCGTGTATCAGTCACCCGTGCAGCAACATCACTTCAACTGTCCGTATCAGTTAGGAAATTCCAAGGATGATCCCCGCTTGGCACAGGAATTACAAATTGAGGTTCAAAAAGGCGACATTGTTGTTGCTGGGACTGATGGTGTTTTTGATAATCTGCATGGATTTGAGATCGAAGAAGTTATCAAGTCAAGCAGCAATAAAGGCGACAAACCAGACTACATGGCTTGTACTATAGCAAATCTTGCACTCTATAATTCGTTTGATAGGTATGCTGCAGATACACCCTTTGCAAGAAAATCAAGAGAAGCAGGCCACAGTCACCACAAAGGAGGAAAAGTTGACGATATTACTGTAATAGTTGCTTGGATCCAATGATCAGATTAAGTACTAGGATCAATTTGTAAATCTTATAGACGAGCTAGCTAGTTAATTCGGTTCTAACGATATGTACAACTACTACAACCAAAACATTTGAATGTATTTGTACACCTACTAGAAGCAACACCTTCGAATGTATTCGTGTTTGCTCAATCAATGCAATTGTTTTTTTTTTTTTTTTAATCAATCCCAGGAAGGCCTTATTACCAATCACTCCACATAAATTGTTAATCCAAAAAGCTGTTTATCTACTTTAACTCGATTGATTACTCAGCATTTTGGCACTAGCTACGTGATTTGGATACGTAGCCATGCAGTCCACAAAATAAATGACTATATGTTTATCATGCAGTTTGTTTACTTTCTCTTCAGATGCTTTAATTTAGTTTTATCAATTTACCAAAAAAATTAATACTAATAACAAACCAATTCACTCCTTCATGCTTATTCAATTTTCCATTTCCGACTGAAATAGGTTGAATAGAAGCATCTCAATTAGCGACTATTCGCTAGCTATTTGATTTGAAACTGCTTTCTCAGGCACATATTACCTAAGAAATCCAAGATTTGTATGTTACTTGGTTACAAATTTTTCACCTCTGACTGAATGGAAAGCAGGAGAGGATATCCATGGTACAGTATATAGTAAATTAGGCTCCAATATATCAATCAATACGTCCAAATCCCGCTGGAGAAGTGCCGCTTATACCTTCTTCACATTCAGATCAACTCCATGTTCAGGCTCTATAACCAGGTTTAAAGTCGGGGAATGAATATAAGTAGGGGAGAGGGTAAAACTGAAATTTGACAAAATGAGAGACAACAAAATCTTGAGTTCCGCCGATGCCAAGTGCTGTCCAAGGCACACCCTTGGGCCAACTCCAAATGGCATATATAAGTGCGGAAGCTTGCAAGCCCCATTTGCAAACCTGTCTGGATTGAACTGGTAGGAATCTGCTCCCCAGACTTCAGGATCTGTGTGTAAAGTCAAGACGAGTGCCCAAATATTCACGCCTTTTGGCACGTGAACGCCCCCAAATTTCATTTCCTCGAAAACCTCTATAGACATGATCGCAACTGGAGGATAGAGGCGTAAGGACTCATTAATCGCCACACTTAGCTGCGACAATTAGTACCGCTCAGCAAAATAACCAGTATACTTCATTTAATTTCAAGCAACTAAAAACCAAGAAAGCAGGACTAATAATATGAGTATTTTCTTGTGTACCAGCTTCATTTTCCTAATCGTGTCGTTGTCAGGAGCTTGGCCATCACAAACGCCAAGGACCTCACCACGAACGCGTTCTTGCCATTCTGGATTAGCTGCTAACAGCATCAAACAACATGTGGCTGCCAGGGCAGTGGTTTCAAAGCCAGCCAAGTATATGTTTTTGCAGTTGTCGACTATGAAGCTGTCGGTTGCATCTGGGCACTGTTCACTGCTCCTTCCAGAGAACCGTTTGCAGCAGGTCCTTCTCGTAACCACTTCATTCCTTTCCTTCACAACTTTCAAAATCAATGTTCTCAAATCCTTCTCCGGTGCCCATGCTTCCCTGTTGCTCTTTGTGGGAAGGCACCTGTTAATTTAGCTACCTTAAATTCACTCTCCTTTTTATTTTTTGTTCTACACTGACAGAGAGCGCTTCAAAAGATTGACAGCTAAACAGAAGCAGCAACTAATGAAACCATTTATATCGAGGAATTCTTTGCCATTTGCGTATGCACTAAAAATCAAAAGCAAAAACCAACATAATTGGAGCTAAATTAGGAGGATCACGTTTGGCAAATTAAACTAAATATGTAAACAGGGTGGTAAATTATAACTTTCATCTGAACGTGGGCTGTGTGCATGAATAGATTATCTGCTCAAGCACGCATTTTATCTGAATAACCTCAAAGACGACGCCTTTGGGCCGGCTTCTCGTGATTCAGTTGGAAACCCAAATAGAATTCAGAACGTTTGTTTGTCGAACATTCATGAATAAATTAATTCTTTGTTTGGAGAGGGCATAGAAGAAAGTATACTTCATGAATGGAATGCCAAAGCTGAAACCCTTCTTGGAAGCACATTCCAGAAGAGCTCTGAGTTTGACGAAGATCTCTCCTCCTTTTGAATAATCGCTCCCGAAGCATGCTTTCGATATTACATCGCCTGAGAAGCTCCTCATATGCTGGTCAATCTTTATATCAGCTGCACCACCTTTGGCCTCAATCATGTTGTTCCACACGTCTATTAAAGTCATGGCAGACTCTCGAATCAGCTTTATCATTCCCTACAAGGGTTTAAACTTACAAGGTCAGATAAAAATGCAAGAAGTAGACAGTCGAATAGAACAAGTACTTTTAATCGCCACCATGTTTGGTTGGGTCACATGTAATATTGGAATGACTCCAATAGAAAACACAAAGACATGACCTGCAGTATGCGGATTAATACAACGTAACGTCTATATGCTGCTATCAAACCAAACGTCACAGCCAACTCTAACAACTGAACTTATAAAAATGAGAAATTGGAGAATGACAGTGTTCAACCATACGTCCTCTGTTGGCCGGAAAAACAATGGGAATGCTCAATTATATATAGTAGATATTAGTCAATAGGTTGTCTCAAACTCTACTAACTCCATGTTAAACTAGTAGTTTTATTTATTTTTCTAGAGAAGGGTTAAGAACTTAATGATCCTTTTTTATTACACTTAGAATTGCATAGGTTTTCTTGAGGGTGGTCAAGGTACTTTCATCACTTTAATCTTTGATGATTCTCTCCTCTCATGTTTTACGATTAATTCCTTACTTAAAGTCTGTAAACTCGGCCTACTGATAGACCACCATTCCACAGGTAATGTACACGGGTTCATATCAGGACAAAATTAATTAATCAGCTCAAAAACGCTTTAACGTCAAACTACTGACACAAATTAACCGCAGATACTACCAAAGAGTCGATCGAAACATGTAAAAACGCCTCCGGCCCACGTTTAGCATCAAAGCAAACTGTCCAAGGCATTACCACCACCTTCCCTACCCTATTCAGCTACGATGGATTGAAGTTTCCTGATGATTCCCACCTCCACCGGATACGCTAGAACTGGGATATTCTAATAGTAGGACTGCTAGTATATATATATATATATATATATATATATATATGAAAACTACTTGTATACTGATGAGTTGT